AAGTGTGGCCATTTAACGAGTCGCGGAACGACTTATCTGTGATTCTGTGGACGCACGAAATTCCGCGGATATGGTTTGTAATTATTTCGAACGATCGTGTGATTCGATGATTAATACCGGGTGTGTGTGTGTTTGTTATGTCGTTTGTATGGTAAAGTGTAACGTGACGATATATTTTTCGACGACAATTCGCCTGATTCGGCGATGGACGTTACGATTTGTGTGCGATGGGAATTAAATATTCTTCTTGTTATGGAATGGTGTTAATATTAAATGATTTTTGAGAGAATGTAGGTATGAGAATTCTGTGAAGTATTGTAATGGAGCGGGAAGGTTTTGGAGAGCTGTGGATAAATTGGAACATGATTTGTTTAATGGATTCGATGAATATGGAGGCTGAAGATTGTAGATATAAAGGGATTGTACACCTGGCAGCGACGTCTAAAACAAGTAACGATTTTTGACTGTCAAGAAGAAAATGTTTAAGTAAATGAATAAGACTTATCTGTAACTATATTAACACCAAAGTTCGAATAATTACGAGTGGTGTTAATATTAAATGATTTTTGAGACAATGTATGAGAATTCTGTGAGATAGTGTATTGTAGCGGAGAGGTTTTGGAAGAGCTGTGGATGAATTGGAACAAGATTTGTTTAATGGATTCGATGAATATAGAGGCTGAAGATTGTAGATATAAAGGGATTGTACACCTGGCAGCGACGTTTAAAACAAGTAACGATTTTTGACTGTCAAGAAGAAAATGTTTAAGTAAATGAATAAGACTTATCTGTAACGATATTAACACTAAAGTTCGAATAATTACGAGTGTTTGGTATACATGGATCCTTGTCGATAGAAGCATTTCAATGTAACTAATCGCAGTATATTCGCACCTGAGCTCTACTTGAAAAATTTGAATTTACTTTGTTTTAATTTGCATCGAAGCGACGACGTCGACCAGGGAGTACAGCGAAATTCAATCGAATTTTTGTGTTCTCGGTGTTAAAAGAATCACTAAATTCATGTTGTAGATTAAATAAGAATAATAATACGTACAATTATAGAACAATGAATTAAACATTCGTCTCTACTTTTAACGATCGACATTGAAAGTACTCACGTGATACAGGGTGTTTTATAAAATTGCACCTCGTAATTTCGAGACCAGAAGGTCGAGGAAAGATAACAGAAGATTCCGTGTAAACAATTCGTTATGGAATAATACATGTAAAAATATCAATCGTACAATGAATTTATATATAATTGAATTACATTTATTCGAGATTAATCAATCGCAAACATTCATACAACAGAGTTTGCTGAAAATGTCCGATATGATGTGTACCGAATCCAAATAAATCAATTGTACGACAAACAGCAATCATAATTACGACAGAGAAATTTTCGAACGAACAATTTAATATCATTTTGATGTACCAAATGAATATCTTACAGGAACATCCTCTACATCACGACCAATCGAACGACAGGTATAAATCAATCAAGGAACATTTTCTGGTAAACGACAAACGGATATTTATTTTTGTACTTGTGGCACGCGACAAAACGTGCTAAGCTATATTCCTATTCTTCGTTCGATTTATCCACTGGAACGGATCCAATGTAACATTTGTATCGCTAAGTTATCATGTAGAAAACATCTTGTAAAAAATAAAAATAATCGATCGTTTCCACACCCGGAGGAACCTAACTGTTACTCACGGGATGACACTAACTTTCGGCCCTACCACATGGTTTTATACCGTTCGTTTATATAAAGCAGCCATTTTTGATAAACTTCCAAAAAGCACCCACACGCGATGACCTTGACCTTGAAATATGTTATCAAGATCAGCCTAATGAATAATCTTCAAAAGGTTTAAATCGACAAACATTGGTTACTAGAAAGTTATGAACGAAAATCAAATTCTTGAACTGTCGCTAACCAACTCCAATCAGTATAATGCATCAAAGTTGATTGGAGAAAGTTCAAGAAAAAAAAATAATTCAGAATTTGTTAGAAACAGTTCAAGAAAACAGGTATGATTATTATCACCGCGAATTTTTGGTCGAATTCAACAACGAAATAAGCAAATATTTATTTCACCAATTTGTTTTTTAACTACAGTAATGTCTCGATGAGTGCGACTTTCTCGGGCCCGAATCGGAGCATTCGTGGTAAGGCGGAAAGGTTTTCAGCCTTTTATAAATTTGTTTTCTTCATAAAACCGAGCCTCTGCTTAGCTTCTGTTTACCCCCTGTTTTGATTGGTTCCAGAGGAGGACCTCCCAGTGGTGGGAATAACACCATTGTTCGTGTCGCATTCATCGAGGGATCGCTGCAGCTCTAACCAACTCAGATCAGTATAATGCCTTAAAAAAGTATTCTTTAAAGTCATTACGTTACAAAATTTCAAATTTTTAAGAAAATTACAGTACATTTTCCAATCTTTCGTTGTTAATAACTTTTTAATAACCAATGATTGGCGGTTTAAACCTTCTGAAGTTCACCCGTCATTTTGACCCAGTCCATCACTGTAGCGCGTTACGAAGCTCCTCTGTGAATCGTACAGTAAATCGAGGACAGAACAGGTATTTTAAGAAGTAATCTCTGGTAAATATAAACGTATATATTTATTTCTTATTTTGTGACGTACACAAACTCGTAGGAACTCTCCACATTCACCGTTCATTCATTCACCCGAACGAAACTGTCGTGAAATGTATGCATCGTTGTGATACGATAACATGGGATGACGTGTGACCTGTGTCAGATCATATCGTTGCAGGCGGGAGGCACATCACCATTCAGTCTTGGGTCGCTTCTCGAGGTAAGCCTTGATCTTCGGCAGAGCCTTCACTTTCTCCACCAGCTTCTTCAGTTCAGGTCGCTCCTCGTTCACGTCGTGCTCGACCACGATGGACAAACGCTCGGCGATCGCGGTGTACAGAAGATCTGGCCAGGTTAACTGAAATAGAAATAAAGACTCTTTATTACGAAATTTCGAAGACACTCCGCCATGCAGCCATTTTGTTTTCAGTAAGTGTCTTTATAAATTGCAAAAGAATAATAAATACTACACCGTTGGATACCTGATTTATTCTTAAATAATTACTTTTCCATAGAATATATGAATTCGAGTAAATTACCTTTCCACCAACCAAGAATCCGCTATTCTTCTTAACCTGTTCTTCGAGCTTGTTAAGAACGACGGGGAGTTTCGCGAAAGCAGTTTCCTTCAGCTTCTCCTTGGTAGTGGGATTCTGTTCGAAGGCGTACTGCGAGAACGCTGCGAAATGATTGTGCAATGATTACATTGTTAAATCGTTCGTAATTATATTTACAAAGTACCACAGAACACATATTCCATGAAGAATAATAAAACAGTGAATATCACGCAAGAACTGTGTACACGCACCTACTCTCAAATCGTCGATTGTATCGACGGTGGCGTCGATCAGGTAAGCCTCTTCGTCGTTCGTGCTGTACAGATTATTTTTTTTCGCGATAAGACGAGCGATCGCCCTAGACTGGTTGTAAATTTTTCCGTCGATCTCCAAAACGGGCAGCTGGCCTAATGGCATACCTGAAAAATTTCCAAAATATTATACGGTTGAATTATATAACCTTTTGTCTGATCGGCACAATCCAATTCTACTTAACTCTATCCGTATGAATATTTTCATGAGGACCGAATTGACCTGTATTTTGTTTTCGATCAAATGTGTATCACTTATCAATTATTAATCAGATTATCATTAATCAGATTATCATTTTTAGCGATGAATACTATGATTTCGGAACTTTTATCTGTTTTTCCGATGAATGTCAATATTTTTTGTTCTCCGTTACAAAAACAACCCGCTTCGAGTCACGGAGTGATATCAAAATTTTCCAAATAATGCCGACTATGCTTACCAGCTTTAAGTTTCGTCCATTCCTCCGGGGTAACTCTGTTGTCTTCGAACTCGATACCACTTTGGTGCAGCAGAAACCTGATTGGCTCGGCGAGACCTGTGCCATTGAAGTACGTCAGCTTGTAGATAGGCATTGTCTGCGTTCAAAACGACATTCGATAAGCACCTCCGCGATTATTGCATCCTTCTTACTTATATTACTGAATAACTTCATTTTCACATTAAAATTTTTCTGTACAATTATCACTTCGGTCACTAAGTTCGTAGGTATTCGTTCAATCTAAAGAATTGTAAAATGGTAACAAATTGTTGGTAACGAAGGGAATTACAGTATCGGACAAAACTATAACAACACGAACGTAATGTTTCTTCGAAAATGAATTCCTCTAACATCTTCTCTATTAATTAACGACCAATACGGATTTCCTTAAACGTTATTTACTTAAATATTAATAACTTTAGTGAAATGCATATACTTCGTTAATATAAAGGAAGCTACGGAAAATTGATTTTCAAAGAATTATTACTGTCAAGCTGTTATATTTTTCTCCGATACTGTGTATCATTGTTTGCAAAAATAAATGAATAATGTTGAGTCGTTAACATTGTAAGACTCTGAAAAGATAAGCGTGGCCGGCAATTTAACGACCATTACCAACCGCCGTACGGTTAACAGCCTTGAAATTGATGGTAATTGACACCAAGTAACGGTTTGAAGATCCTACGTTCGACCTTGCCAGTCCTATTTGCTTTGTCCCGCCGATTGCGGAAAGTAACGTCATCGTACGACGATTTGAAAGAGGAAATGACTGTGCAAAAGTATACGGGGAAAGAACAGAAATAGAAATTTCGCGTAGATATGATTTTACTATGTATATAAATGTACAGGATGGTCGACTAGAAACAGGAGAACCTTTTTTTTTTTGTACAGATGTTATAAAAATATATGGCAGAAAAAAATTAATTGCTACAATAGAACAAACACGGCGTAAGAGAAAAGTTTTTTTTACGATGATTTTCTTCGTTATCATCAATATCAATACCACTTTTTTAAAATGGAATGATACTATTTTGTTTCAGTGTAACGATAGTTGGGAATCAAGACGAATACTGTGATCTATGAGACATTCACATTTATTTCTCTGATTATCGAAATATTGAAACTTATACTTTGTTCTGTATTAATTATGGTCAAATATCTTCTATGGGTGGCGAACGGTACACAAAGTATCTTGACAGAGTAAGTTTCCAATATTTCGAGAATTAGAGAAATAAATACGAATACATCTTAGATCATTGTTTTTGTTCTGTTCCAAAGTATCGTTACACTGGGGAACAAATATAAATCATTCCACTAAAACGAATAATATTGACACTGATGACATCGAAGGGAATGATCGTAAAAAAAAATTTGCTATCTCGTATTTACCCCTGATAACCATTGATTTTTCGCTAACATACGTTTTTATAACGCCGTTACAACAAAATATATTCAAGCGGCCTGTTTCTAGTGGGCAGATAAATCAAGCAATATTTAAGAAATTATACAATATTCTGTATATAGATTTTGCTTCAGGAATTAATGACATTATTCTTGTAAGGATTATATTTGATCAAAAATTTTTTTTAGTCTTTTGAATAGGTAAGAAGGTGAAAAGAAATTATACAAATAATTACGTTAGGATAGCTGGAAAACTTTCAACACATTCGCCACGAACCTTACACGTACGAACTTTGAAATTACTTTATTTCACAGGAGTTAGAAGACAATTCGTTAACACAACTTTCTGATGTTCACTTACGATGATTTCGGTACTGTGGATGCTTTAGCAGACTCTTGATATCATAGAATCTCGCGTTCAACTGATCCTGCTTTCGCTGGTTGGCTACTTTAAATTGCGTTCATTACGTCACTTCGTGTCCCCACCCGATTCAATTTAATCCTGATACCCGAAGAACGAAAGCTACACATGTTACAATATTGCATAATATTGATAAGGTACAATGACACGTACACTTTTTCGACATTACGACACCTATTGAATTGTTCGATCAAAAGTTTTCGTTAATCAAGTATTTGGCTGAGACTCCGAGTCTCTCGCAAAACTAAAACTGTCACCAGACCTGGGCACTTCTGAAATTATGTTATTTGAAATATTATATCAAATAACATGTTATTTTATTTTCTCATCGTTTGAAATAATTCTTAGAAATAATTATGAAATTGTTCTTTGAAATTATATTAGGTAATTAGGTCTGAGTTTAGTTGATTGATATTTTTTGGAAGAGTAACACCTCTCTTCCATCTTCCACACCAGTGGAACGATTCTTTCCTTTCGCGACACTATTAGATGGACCCAAGCAAAAATCTCTCACGGATGAGCTTTTTGAAGAACGGGTTCTGCTTAAAGCAGATTGCAATAAAGATTTTTTAAAATAAAATCTTCTTGTTGCATATTATTTTCAGTATTCTTTGTTTTGTCATATTTGTAATACAGAAAATTACAAAATAATTCAATAATTGAATTTGCTATTATTTCAAATGAATCGATAATATTTTTATTTTTAAATAACAGTATTGAAAATAAAGTTCGTTCGTCACAAATACACATGAAATCAAAAGTTGAAAAATTGCTGATTAATAATAAACGTTGTATTTTCATATTTGGAATTGTATTGGAAAAATTGTTTGCAAAGGTTGCACACGCATTACGTGCTCGATAAGCAGAACTATCAAATTTACACAATAACTTCATGAGATAGTAAATTCTGCAATGTAATTCCATACATGGTAATCAGTTGCGTTATCGCGCGAAACAAGTAAATACGATGATTCAGATATATCGGCAGATAATGCACGAACGGCTACACAGTGTTTCATAAATGATAGAAAATAGGCGAATTTATGGTTTGAAAGTGTATACGCATTGGAATTATGCTCCACATTCACTTTTTTTAATGACAAAACAGTTCCACCGTGGAACTTCCACGCTTTTCAATATGTACGACTAGTTGTTTTCCATTTGTTTATGATAGATAAGACTTATGACCATTTTAAATGAAGCCGAAAGAAAAAATTAAGAACATAACAAAGATGAAACTATTTTGTCGTATTGTATATGTAAGACCTTTTCTGTGGAAAATGATGTGGTCGTTTGAGGTATAAAATAAACATTTCAAACCGAATCATCGTGCATGTACCTATCGAATCGTCACTTTACTAGATTTTATTTGATTGAATCGTAATTTTATTAATTGTTTATTTTATTGGACAACTGGTACAACTTGGAAAGTAGGTTGCAGTAAAATAGTAAACTCATTTTCTTCAATATCTGCAGCATCAATTTATCGCTTTTTACGGCTGTTAATTAATACTTTGTACGTCAATTTTTTTAAACATGATAATAATACAAACATTCATCTACAAAATAGCGTTTGAAATTTTGCATTTCATGCATTTGTTAGGAAGTTACGATTATTTAAAATCAATAACTACCAATTCGTTGCTTCATGCACCTTCGTCTACGTTCGCTACTTTTTTTACAACTTTCTTATCGTATTGACGATAAATAATTAGGCTTTTTTAATTCCTTGGAACATATCAAATAATAGTTTAAGTGTCGGAAGTACCATAAATTGGGCCATTTTCCACCACCCTACTTTGTAAATAAAAGTTCTGATAGACTTAACCTTGCTGCTCTCACGACTAATTCTTTGTAGATAAGTAACAACAAACGGCAAATTTATGACAGGAAGACAGTTTCCTGCGGTTTCAGATTATAGGCTATTTCACAAAAGACCGTCCTATAAACAACCAAAGAACTTCCCAGGTCATGTCGTGACGTCAAGCAGTTTGGGCAATTATTTAGAAAGTTGCTGGCGACGACAAGACAATGTCACACACCCCATCTGGCAAAATACGCTTAGGGCGAAATAGAAGGGGGATGAACCAGTGTTTTGAGGTATAGAATTTTCACAGACTCAGTTCAGCCTCAGTGCAGTCTGAGTTCAGCAACGAATCAGTCATTTCTAGACCAGTTCAGTATTAGCATTCGAACAGTTCAGGGTCAGTGAAACTTTGACAGTATACAGATATAGTATAAACACAGCTTATAGTTTAATTCCATCAATATTACCGTCACGCATTTATAAGGAAATACAGTTAATTAAAATATATACGGTGGTTCAATTTAGTGGATGTGGAAGATAGGCGGTCCTTCTTTGTGCAATACTTTGTGACATCGATAAAGAAGCTTGTCATACCCTAACACTTGACATATAATACTCGACAGTTGCTATTTTAGAAAGTAATTAGTTCAAGTATTTCTTACGTAGATAAGTGACTGCACGTTATGCAATGAAAATATCACTGTATATTCCACATCTCTAGCATCTTTCAGTTAGCATTTAGGTACAATACCCCATCTTATCTCGTTACCTCTTCATGCCCCCCCCCCCCATTACCCTAATCATAATGTACCATTCTGACCGTTTTGTGTGTCCAGTTCCTCATTCAAGTGCGTTCCGAAGAACCCCTGTAAATGACAGTCAATCGGCAACAGGACAGGCATTCTAAGAAGTAATCTCTCGTAAAATATGAACGTGTATATTTATTGTTCTTCTTATAACGTACAGATTGTGCGAACTAGCAACATTCGTCAAGTTATTTTATTCATCAGAGAGAAATTTTCGTCTACGTTTACTATCGCTGCGACATCTTGCGTGACACGTGCGAGTTATGAGAAGTGAAAAATTATCGGTGGATAACGTTGCGGTTGATAAACTCTTCGCCATCCCCGGTTAGCGATAAGGATGGAAAATTTCAATTTGCCTGAGTACTCAGAACAGTGTTTTGGGTCGTTTGTCCAGGTAAGCCTTAATGTTTGGCAACGCCCTTACTTTCGCCACCAACTTCTGCAGTTCAGGATGATCCTTGTTCAGTTCAGACTCTGTCATGGCGGACAGGGTTTCCGTGTACCCGGTGTACATAAGGTCTGCCCAGGTTAACTGAAATAGAAACAAAGATTTATAATGACAATGATCGTTTATTGCGGTAGAAAGAAGGTAATCGAAATGAAATCGTTTATTCTGAACTTGTAGAAAAGAAGAAGATTCCTTGTATCTAGAATGCAATATAATACCTGCTGATTATTTACATTAAACAATGAAAGAGAACGTTCTTATGAAATACAAACTCATAGAAGAGTGAGACGATGTCTCATCCGGATAGATTTATTGGTTTATGCCACTTTATACCGATGAATCTCTATTGTCAGAGTGCAAATTAGACTGACTACATACTTTGAATCTCGTTTACAACCGGAAACACTATTCTACTGACCGTTATATAATGTTTAATGGAGGCTATTCTTCGTTAGATTATTGTAGAAGCAACGACAGCATGATGGAAGTAGTACTCGATCTTGAAACCTTGACAGTGATTACTAATTGTCATTATTTCCATAAAATAATAAATATTCTAGAGCAACTTGTGAATTTGTGGTGCATTGAAATTAAGCCGTTTAGACTTAACCCTCGAAAGAAAAATTCTTATGAAACTTCGAGGACTCCGCCACGCAGCCATTTTGTTTTCATTTTTTCGATATCTTTAGCTAGGAACCATAAATTTGTATAGGTTGTAAACGGGTGGATTGCGTGTTATCCCATAATATATCTAAATTATTCTAAAGAGCCCTCTTTATTTCTGGTTTGTGTGAATTCGAGTAAATTACCTTTCCACCAACGAAGAATCCGCCATTCTTCTTAACTTGTTCCTCGAACTTGTCAACGTAGACAGGGAGTTTCTTCAAAGCAGTTTCCTTCAGCCTCGCTTTGAACGCGGGATCCTCTTCCCAGTAGTACTGCGAGATTGCTAAAGCGTGATCAATAAATTATAAGTACTTTATAAAGGATAATAAGATTGTATTGTGCAAGTGTATACGTACCTTGTCTCAAATCATCGATGGTCTCAATGGTAGCATCGATTTGATAAGACTCTTCCTCATTCGCGCCGTAGAGATTATTTTTTCTCGCGATGAGACGGCAGATCGCCTTTGACTGGTGGTGAGGTTTTCCGTCGATCTCCAAAACAGGTACCTGGCCCATCGGCATTTCTGTGAAATTTCCATATCAATGAATCGTACGGTTGAATTTCTCTTGTCTGATAAACACGGTCGTATTCTACTTGACTACCCTTTATCCGTATGAATACTTTCATGAGAACTGAATTGACCAGTATTTTGTTATTTCCGACCAAATGTCTGAAATCAATTGTCAATTTAGTAAATATTTAGAATAGGGGAGGCAGCTCCGATAACCTTGACCTTGACATATGTTGTCAAGGTCATCCTCCTCACTGACCTTCAGAAGGTTTTAAACCGTCGCTCGGTTTCTATTAAAAAGTAATGAACAAAAAAAGTCTGCAAAATATTACAGTTGACTTGACAACTGACAACATGACAGATTATAGTTAAAACTTTCAGCGACGAATAATAAGGATTTCTTAGCTTATATTACTTCTGTTATGAATGCAATTACGTGTAGCTACACGAGTTTTTCGTTAAATCGCTATTCGCTTCGTGTTTTAGAATGATATAAATCGTCTGAACGACAGTGTAGCTCGAGATTCTGAACAACGCTTACTAGGTTTAACATCAGGCCATTCCTCAAAGGCCATCCTCTTGTCTTCGAACTTGATGCCGCTCTGGTGCAGCAGAAGCCTGATTGGCTCGCCAAGCCCTGTGACGTTGAAGTATATCAGCTTGTAGGTAGGCATTGTACCTGCATTTAAACAAGATCCTTGTTACTTAAGGGTATCGCCTGGGTGAAATTCTTTCCTGCGGTAAATTGCAGACGTTCGTCTGCCATGAATCCTTAAAATCTAATTCGTTCCTCTTAACACTTTGACTGCCACGTCACCCAAATATGGGTGACACGTACATTGCAAAAAAGCTGGATTATCTAAATATTATTATAAAACTTTTGCGTAAAATTAAGATCGCGGTATAATTTAAAACAAGACCAACAGCCTTTATTAACAATAAGCATATATTTTCGACGATTTATGACTTAAAAAACGAGATAAAGTGTGTCTGGCTACTTATGTCCATTTTCACTGAGGCAATGAATGTGTTAAATTATACGAAAAAAAACATTTAATTTCTAAACTGGATCATTTAATATTATACAAATACGAATTATAGTCTGTACTACTAATGAAGGTGATGATTGTTCGAAAGGAACGCGTTGATACTTATATTCTTGATCACAATGACCTAAAACTATTGGTTCCCAAAATGGGTACTACCGTCCACAGTTCGACACAGAGGAGACCAGGGGCTGAGGCGTTCTAGTTGTTTCATTTTTTGTTTATTTCCAATTTAACTTTTTAAAACCCAAAGATTACATGTACAATTACAGTTGAAAATTCTTATGATAGAAATAGTCTAGCCAAAGGGGCTGCTGAACAAGACGAACTTTGAAAATGGAGCAGTTAGCCAAAAAGGGTTCAGAAACCATAATCTAAACAAATGTATCTCACATCATCATACTCTCCCAACAGTAAAAACTGTGACTATTCGAATGTGTTAAATGTATCCACAGAACAGAAAATGTCTGGGCGGAGTACGATAACATTGTGAGACGCGATAACAACAATCGTTCCAACGCGGAGAGACTGTGTGTGTGTGTGTATGTGTCGAAATCAGTCACGTAATCGGTGACAACGCAACATTCTAGAATATAAACTCCGAGAAGGATACGTGTGGCTAGGCAATTTGCAGATCGTTACCGCGAGACCGTCTCGGTTAACAGCCGTTGGCATTGTAGCTAATTGACAACAGCGTTGTATATGTTCGACCTTGATAGTACCACTATCCGCTGTGACTCACTAGTTACAGAAAGAGTAACATCATTGCACGATGATTTGGAAACGTGGGATGATTGTGCAGAAACATATGTGGAGGAACGGAAATAGAAATTCCACGTAGACCTATGAAATCGCAGAGAGAATCAGCTTCTGACATGATTTTCTTAAATGGATATCCTGGGTCAGTCAAAAGGAACTATTATCTAAAATAACTAGTTACCTATTGATTGTATCAGAAAACATTTTAAGGAATTATATAGCATTTTAAGGAGATCATCGGATGGATACAATTTGATATTTTTATATCTTATTCTTTTTTTGAGATTTCAAGGTTATCTTGAGTTTTATCAAGGCCAATGTATATTCTTTTTAATTCCACGTTGTTGCCCATAGAAGAACGAATTCTACGACCTATAACATGATGGTATTAAAAAAAAGATGCATTAACCTTGAAAAAACTCAAGATCACCTTGATATTTAAAGAAAAATAATATGTAATGAAATCAAATCGTAGCCATCCTATGAGTCCTTCAGAATGCTATGTAATTCATTAAAACTTTTTTGGTACAACTAATAGATAATGATATTTTAGGTATTAGTTCTTATTGGCTCACCCTGTCTACACTGTATTCTCAAGAACTAAAAATATACGATTCCACTTAAAAAAACAAAGTTGACATTCATATGACCTCTACGCATCCACATAGAAAAAAATTACTCACATCAGAAAGTGTGAAATATTTTTGTAATATCGTCAATAGTTTCCGAGATATTCGACTGGGTCCATTTAAATATAATACCCTGTATAGAATATACAACTGTTTACAAATACAATACCGGGTTTAGCTCATTTTTGCAAAAATATGACATTGACACTTCTTGTACCAAGCCACAGATAAATAAATCGTTCATTTTCGTCCTCTTATTCTTTGTTTGTTTTGATAATCAAAATTGTTGTGCAGGATGTTCCATTCACCGTGACTGGCGCAAAAAATATGAAAGAACGTTTACACTAGAATTACTAAAGCAGTCAAAGAGATTAGTTAGTATACACTTTTATAACGATGATTAAAATGTTACAAGACTACATTTTCTTAGATCTTTTGCAACTTTTATTGCAATATCTAAGTGAAGAAATGGGTTAATCTGTAAAGTCATATATTTTCACAAGTTTGTCATGTTTATCAATCTGATAAAAATAGTTGTACCTTCATCACTGGTAGTTTTACTGTTACGGCACGTATTGTTAGTGGACAGAAAGATGCAAGAATCAATATACAGCGGAAAAAAAAATGTTCGTACACAAGTGAATCTTACCAATTTATAATGCTATTGTAACTGTGATACTATATTAGAAATTGTTCCTTTCCAATTATACCAGAATAATTTCACTGTTTATTAAAGTAACACCTGGCGGAAATAATTTTTAACCCGGTGTTATAATGAAAACAGTACTGTGAAGAACTGTGCAAAGAAAAATGAAACATACTATATTGCATTATACAAAATATTCCTAAAATACTGTACAAGTTGTCAAGTTAAATAAATCACCCGGTACAAATTTCTATTGGACAAAAAGTAGTTCCTTTAGTATCAATATGAACAGAGATAGTAAATATTAACGATTTATTTATGGAAGACTGTTTACAAACTCCTTCTATAACTAACGTGTCGAGTTCAACTTTGAAACTATCTCTAAAAAACATACGTTATACTACCAAATGAAGATAGAAAATAATATTAAACGAATATGTTACAAGTTACTCGTGATGATCACGCATATAATTATTGTAAGATAGCTGGAGAACTGTTGAGAATGATCATTGCAAAATTCTGACCTTACGAATTGTGAGATTGATTTTATTCGTGGCTAATCGTATGATAGAAGAATCGATTCAAGAGAATTTGAAGGAAATTCGTTAGCACGCGTTTCTGATGTGCACTTACGAAGATTTCTGTGGTATAATGCTTCAGTAGGCACCTAGATCCAACGAGTTCCGCGTTCAACTGACGCTTTCTCGCTAGACAGCCGCTAGAAATCATGCATATCGCAGCGCTTCATCTCCCCACCAGTTCAATATGAACCTGTCACGTGCCAAACCTACACTGTACACTTCACATGCTACGATGTTCTATGACACAGAGAGTATGCGTCGCGTATAAACTCCTTCGAGAAAATGGTACCTGTTAATACATAGAGGTACAAAAGGAAAACCTTCACTTCTCTTCGAGCCGTCAGATTCGAAAATAATTGAAATTTTTATTAAGACGGATTTTGTCATGTTTCTCTGGGTTCCATATCTAATCTATACTTCATCTATTTCTATCTAACTGGTACCTTCAACTGTGTACACACGCAGTCTTTCAACCAACCGCCATCTTAACTATGACTATCAGAACAGGTATTTAACTTCTGCTTTCAATTGAGAACAAACAGACCAGTTATTAAAATGAACTCTTTATTCGAATACAAAAGTACAATACTATGTTATCGGTCTATATCTCCGGATCTCTTTATAAGTATACAAATAATACTACAATAATCATCAATGATATATTTTAGTGATAAGATCGAAGTATTCGAATAGATCAAATAACATAATCGTAGCCAACACATGGAACGGCTATACTTGAAAGCGATTCGTATTTTATGCAGCCGTTATTTCCGCGTTACCAGACTCTTCAGCATCCTCCACGGTGTATTTCGAACAGGAACTCGATACGCTAAGCGTAGGACAGTACGTTATTTATCCAGTGAAGATTTAACACTCTGTCTTCGGACGTTTCTCGATCCAGCTCTTGATTGCGGGCAAGTTTTGGACTTTCTCTTTCAGCTGCTTCAAGTTCTCGTACTTCTCGGTGATATCAGAGCCCCACGCGAACTTGAAATAATCAAGAAGAGCAACGAAAGTCAGGTCAGCCCAGGTCAAGGCCCCACCAACGAAGTAGCCACCGTTATTCTTCACTTGGGCGTCCAGACGTTCCAAATAGTATGGCACCAGCTCTTCGGCGATTTTGCGTTTCTCGGCTTTGACGTCTTCATTGGTTTCATAGTAGGAAGCCGCCAACTCTGAATAAGGAAATGATTAACTAGATGAAACTACTGGCTTCTAAGAAGCATTAAGTGTCTATTTTTAACTGAAGATATTTAACACATTAGCAGATTGTATGCATTAGCAGCATACCTGTCTGTGATAATCTACAAAACCAGATTTAAAATAAAAAAGATATCTGTCATACATTTATAGTATACTTGATTAAGAAATATAATTAAAAGGCAGATGTGTAACTGCTGCTTAATTCCTCCATATTTATCATTTACGTATTATACATTATTTTGACATGTATATTACTGTGTAATCTGATTACAGGTTTATTTAAATTAAAAAGGTGATAAGAGGAACACTTACTTGCACGGAAATCATTAATGGTATCAACAGTGGAATCCACTTCAAGGGCCTCTAAATCATCCTTTCCAAGAACACCAAATTGTTTGGCCAAATAACGGCAGATGGCCATAGCCTGGGGATATTTCTTTCCATCAATTTCCAAGACTGGAAGCTGGCCAAAAGGCATCTCTATGAACATAAAAAAAAAAAGAAATAGATCTATCTTCAGTAATCTTCGCTTTTATGACTTGTTTCATATCATATTAAATCACAGTAAGTTCGGAATGCAGAAAAATTATTTTTTCTAAATAATATCAATCAATTTCAAGGGCAGTGTGATTCCTGCATATTTGTAAATATCTGTTATTATTCATTTCAAAGAATTATTGTTGACTGAAACTTCAGCTGAGGACAAAGGATATTATTTCCTAACAATAGCAATTGTGTTCAACAAGTAAATGAAAACGTCCATTGTAATCTCCATAAATATACTCTATTATATGCCGTGCTTGTATAAAGTTAAGAACAGCAAGTGAACTGACTGTTCATTACTGAGACAATCGACATGAAAAACTGGCTGAGGGACAATGGTTAATCTGAAATTTATCATTACCTGACTTAAGTGCGGGCCACTCGTCCGTTAACTCACAACGGTAGTCCTCAAATTCAACTCCACCATAGTTGAAGAGGAATCTGATTGGCTCACCCAGAGCTGTGAAGTGGAAGTAATACAATTTATAGGTCGGCATCTTGCTGTAACAAAGAAAAATAAAATTAGTTTCTTACAAGATACATGATATCAAATTTCAAAAGTTCCAAAAACATACAATATAAAAAAAAAATAATTAATATCTTAATACCAGTGACAAAACGTCAATGGCTACCGTTACTCATAGCCAAACCGTTTGTTCGTTAAATTTCACAATCTCAAACAGTTTTTCAATAATTCACCAAATTGATCCTTGAACTCAATATTTAAACACAAATCTAATCACGAAATTTAATTAGTATTAACTATATTTTTTATACAAAATTCGAGAGCACAGAAATAATGACTTAAACCACCCCTAATTTCACGTGCACTACAATATATGTACTTAATTTTCACCAAAATCCCTCCCGTACTTACTATTCTTTTATAGAAATAGACACGTAGAGCGGTGTAGTATGTACCTCAATCCAGCAAGGAAGAAGGTAACTTCACAATGCCGGTGCCACGGAGTTACATGTATTTATGTCCCTCCCCATGTCCCTGCTAATCTTCAGTGACGTCATCTTCCCATTTGTCGACGCTTCGACAGTTGAGTGATGTGACGTTAGAAACACCCAGAATACTAAATCCTGAGTTTTGACCGCCACTTGTATTCGTAATGATAAACAAGTACATAAGCTGCGAGATTTTAATGAAAAAGGAATGCACGGTGAAACGTATATTGCAATGTTCGCGTGTGTGCATTTTGCGAGGTGATCGAGGAACGATTGCGTCTTTCATCAGCAATTTAGATGACTTTGATGACATAAAATGAATTTACTAAAATACATTTAAAATACTAACATTTCGATTCACTAATGAGCCATGTTATAGAAATATGATCGAGATTACTGTACAAAGAGAAAGAAATCATTTGATGGTATTTCTGCTATACAATCTTAAGTAAGTAGCTATCACTAAGCATGGAAACGTGTATTTCTATAGGGAATTATTCCTAATCCTTAGCATAAAAGTACTGATAACACCACCTTGAATTTTGGTATAATCACAGATTTTTGCATTCCTTACCGTAAATAAAAATACAATATTTTCATGATTCAGGGTAGGAAGTGTACAAGGTAAGATAAATAGAAGCATTATTTTCGTGTCGTATTAAATTTTAATGAACGTTAAACTTTCGAGTTACGGTTCTCTCAAACGATTTTTATTCACTTCGGAACGTTTTACATCCAACAAATGTGAATTATGTAACACTACTTCGAAGTTAGTAAAGGTGTAGCTAATCTTGGGTATAATTTAAATCGAATTCGAAAAGATCGTTACAATTCCGGTATCGATGTATTTCAGAGACCCAGCGATTCATACGATTATCCTGTTACTAGGAAAAAATAAAAGAACTCAACAATTTAACTATTTCTATCGATTACAGGACTAGCAGTTTCTTATCGCGTTCCTGTTATCAACGGTGGCTAAATGTTTACCGTCGATCAATCCGACCGCAATGAAACGCGATTTGTACCGTGACAAAGTCTGAGAGATAATTCGTAACCGATAAAACTATTTCACAAATTGTGAAAGAGTGCTGGAGTTTCAACAAGTTGCGATCGTCACTCGTCCCGCCATCTTGGAAAAGTAGTATCAGAAATGTTGGGTAGACGTGTAAATTGCTTACAAAAGACATGAACCTCAACGATATTTCTATTCAACCCCTAGGGTGGACAGCTGTATTGATGTTAACTATAGCCAGTTTGTATATCTATGATTTCAAGAATACCCTAGAGCCAGAGTGTATTAAGTTATATTACTGTTATGTCTATGTCGGCAAGAATTCTCAAGTTATACTTTTCATTCAAGTACAACTAACATCACATGATCCAGAACGGATTTTTTTGTACCAGAGCCTTATCTCCATTAACACTTTGACTGCCACGTCACCCAAATATGGGTAACACGTACATTGCAAAAAAGCTGGATTATTTAAATATTATTATAAAACTTTTGCGTAAAATTAAGATCGCGGTATAATTTAAAACAAGACCAACAGCTTTTATTAACGATAAGCATATTGATGATTATGATTTATGACTTAAAAAACGAGATAAAGTGTGTCTGGCCACTTAGATGTCCATTTTCACTGAGGCAATGAATCTGTTAAACGACCAGATGAATTATTCTGCACATTCTTTTTATCTTGTTTGTTGTTGCCGCGCGTAACAGACATTCTTTCATGAAACTCAGAGTGACTGACCTCGGAAAGATAACATGTCATCCTCTCGATAACGAATTCAGAGTATTAGATCGAGATATATTCCAGTTTAACTGGAGTATAATTGAAGAAACATGAATGATAATGACATTGCCAAGCAAGTTTGTAGATTACTATTATAATGCATTAAAATAGTTTATCTTGTAGATAGTTGGAGAAAGTAGGGAGAATCTTTCTATGATAGTACATTTGTTAATGTGAAATTCTAAGTATTTACCTACCGTTTTCAATTAAAAACAAACAGACCAGTTATTAAAATGAACTCTTTATTCGAATACAAAAGTACAATACTATGTTATCGGTCTATATATCCGGATCTCTTTATAAGTATACAAATAATCATCAATGATATATTTTAGTGGTAAGATCGAAGCCTTCGTATCAATCAAATGACATAGTTGTAGCAAACACGTGGAACGGCTATACTTGACAGCGATTCGCATTTTATGCAGTCATCATTCCCGTGTTACTACCCTCTTCGACATCCTCCACGACGAACTTCAAACAGGAAGTAGATACGCTAAGCGTAAGACAGTACGTTATTTATCCAGTGAAGATTTAACACTCGGTCTTCGGACGTTTCTCGATCCAGCTCTTGATTGCGGGCAAGTTTATGACCTTCTCTTTCAGCTGCTTCAAGTTCTCGTACTTCTCGATGAGATCGGAACCCCACATGAAGTTTAAGTAATCAAGAAGAGCAACGAAAGTCAGGTCAGCCCAGGTCAAGGCCCCGCCAACGAAGTGGCCACCGTTATTCTTCACTTGGGCGTCCAGACGTTCCAGATAGTATGGCACCAGCTCTTCGGCGACTTTGCGTTTGTCAGCTTTGATGTCTTCCTTGGTTTCATAGTGGGAAGCCGCCATCTCTGAATAACGAAATTATTGACTAGATGAAACTACTGGCTTCTAAGGAACATTAAGTGTCTATCTTTAACTGAAGATATTTAACACATTAGCAGATTGTATGCATTAGTAGCATACCTACTTGGATATGTGCCAGTGATAACCTACCAAACCAGATTCCAAATAAAAAAGATAACTATCATAGATTTATGACTATACTTGATTAAGAAATATAATTAAAATGCAGATGTGTAACTGCTGCTTAATCTCTCCACATTTATCATTTACGTATTGTACATTATTTTGACATGTATATTACTGTGGTAATCTGATTACAGATTTATTTAAATTAAGAGACATTCTTAGCAATTGAAATTTGATATCAGTGAGACAATAAGAGATAACAAGACGAACACTTACTTGCACGGAGATCATGAATGGTGTCAACAGTGGCATCAACTTGAAGAGCCTCTAAATCATCCTTTCCAAGAACACCAAACTTTTTGGCCAAGTAACGGCTGATGGCGACAGACTGGGGATATTTCTTTCCATCAATTTCCAATACAGGGACCTGGCCAAAAGGCATCTCTATAAACATTAAAAGGAAGGAATAATTATTAAATAGATCTATCTTTAGTAATCATAATTTTTACAGCTTTTTTCATATTATAATCAATCACAGTAACTAAGGAATACAAAAAAATCACTATTACTAAGTAATATTAATTCCTTTGTTATGATCATAATTAGTTTCAAGGTAATGTGATTCCTGTGTGTTTGTCAATATATGTTATTGTTCACTTCAAAGAATTATTGTTGACTGAAACATCAGTAGAGAACAAAGGATATTATTCCCTAACAAGAACACTTATGTTGGAGAAGTACATGAAAACCTCCATTGTAATCACCATAAATATACTCTATTATATGGCATGCTTGTATAAAGTTAAGAACAGGAACTAAACTGACTTCTTAGCACTGGGACAATCGACATAACAAACTGGCTTAGGGACTATGATTAATTTGAAATTTTATTACCTTGCTTAAGTTTAGGCCAGTCATCTCTGTCGAAACGGTTGTCCTCAAATTCAACTCCACCATAGTTGAAAAGGAATCTAATTGGCTCACCAAGAGCTGCGACTGGGAAATAAGTCAATTTATAGGTCGGCATCTTGCTGTAACAAAAAAAAATAAAGTTAGTTTCTTACAATGTATTTCATATGCAATTTTAAAAGTTCCAAAACAGAACAGTATAAACAAAAATTAGTAATATCGTAAAAACAGTAAGAAAAGGTCAATGGCTTCCGTTAATCATATCCAAATCGTCGATATAAATACAATTTGATTATTAACAATTATTTGTTACTGTTACTCGTTGAAATTCACAATCTCAAACAATTTTTCAATATTTCTCGAAAGCGATCCCTGATCTCAATATTCAAACACAAATCTAGTAGCTTCGAATTTCGAGGATGTTCCATCCGGCTAGAAAACCGGCCGGCATGGAAAACAAAATTTCATAAAAGTGTATTTTGTTGGAGTACAAAATAGTTGAATAACAGGCTTTCGGTGTGATTGGTTAAATGGACATTGAAAATAGACGAAAATGGATGAAAGAAATACATGTACTTACTATTCTTTTTAACGAAATGGAAACGAGCAATCAAGTACCTCGATCCAGAAGAGAAGAACGCAATTTCACAATGCTGGTGCTGGTCGGTGCTACCTACGGGCTTATATGCATGTATGTCCCTCCTATTGCTCGGTGACATCAGCTTCCTATTGGTCGACGTTAGGGACCTCGACACTTCGAGAGTTGAATAATGTGAAGTTAGAAGCATCAAGAAAACTAAATCCTGAGTTCTAACCACCACTTGTATTTGTAATGATAAAAAAATTATGGTCATTAGAGGTTCACTGGAATTTAATTTACAAAAGATATAGATTACTCAAGAGATCAGTATAAAGTAATTACTACCTAGTCTGTTAAATTGCGAGATTTCAATGAAAAAGGAATGCACGGTGAAACGTATATTTCAATGTTCGCGGGCTGTGCATTTCGCGAGATGATCGAAAAACGATTCAAACGTTTGAGCGGAAGGATTTGAAAGATGTTAAAGAAAATGAAGGAAAAAAACAGAAAACTCTTTAGCATTACAATAATTTATGATATAATATAAATTTTTGATTATCTGAGCATCGTTTAATTCAACGTTCGACCATCAGCAATGTTATTTGCACAGGTATAGGTACATTTTATAACATAAAATATGTTTACCACATAAATCAATAAAATATTTTTATTAACTTCGGAACGTTTCACATCCAACAAAACTGTGTCTGACTTAAATTATGTAACACTATTTCGAAGTTACTAAAGGTGTAGCAAGTCAAAGTAATCGTTCAAATCGAAATCGAAAAGATCGTTACAATTCCAATATCGGTATATTTCAGAGATCCAGCGATTTGAACGATTATTCTGTTATCAGAATGAAAATAAATTATCTTACCAATTTCACTATTCCTATCGATTAGAAGACAAGCAGTTTCTTATCGCGATCCAGTTATCAACGGTGGCTAAGTATTTACCGTCGATAAACCCGACCGCAATGAGACGCGATTTCTACTGTGGCGAACTCTAAGAAGTAGGTAATGCGTAACCGATAAAACTATTTCACAACTGGAATGAATTCCTTATTTTTTTGTTTATCTTCGGCACGCGTCAAAAACATCGCGCGTCATTATGAAAGAAAGATGATATTGAATTTGCAGGAAGGTAATCAGTAGACTGCGAATGTTTATGCACGATAAATATGCAAATATGCTCTAAAAATATTCAAACATGCACAATGAATATGCAAATATATACATGTCACATATAGTATAATAAGCAATCTATTAATGTATTATACAATATTCACATATTTAAGAGTACTTTCCATAATCATTCTAGTAATGCAATTCACCTAATACTTTCAATTTCTGTGTTGTGGCTGGTATTTACAGTGATTATTAGCAGTGATCATTGCTCGTATTAAGCTCGCATAAAATTCATCTTTTCTTGAGCTCATTACTTCGTGCTCCGAATTTTCTGTTTAGCACGGATTAGCTGCTTTTTTGACTTTATTCTTATAAGTGATAGTATTTTCATGTTCTACTTATTGCAATTATCTTTCACATTCCATATTTTTATTGCAACTTTTGTAATAAATGCTTTCTTTATAGTTTTCGATAATAACAAAATTGGAATTGTTTCCGATCCAACTGTGCTTTTCTATTTCTTCGAACTTTTGGCATTTAAAAAAAAAATTGAAAAACTTTAAAATATATTCACTTTCTAAACAGATCACGTTGGCTGCGATAATAATCAAACTAAACTATTTTGAAATATGTGAAGTCCAAACACAGACTGCCAGAATACAGAAACAGTTTCGTATGGTCTATAATTGACATTGATTACATGTTATTGTTGTCGACACTACACAGTTAGGATACGAGAATTTACCGATAGACGAAATTAATTTCATGAGATAAATATTCCTCATAAGCACGACATGTGTATATGCATTATACAATAATTTCAAAATAAAAAGTATATTTTTCGAATCTTCTAATCACAAAACAAATTTCTGTCCAGGTCCCATTGCTTTGCCTGTTTCCTATAAAACTATGTATTTGCATAAACATCCGCTGTCTAATAATTAATCAGTGAAAGGAATGAATGCTAAATTGCCCACTTCTTTCTAGGACATTGTCATTGTTATTATTATTATTAGGCTCGATCAGTCGATATTTTTTTTTTGTAATTACAACGGCTCAACATACATCGTATAGTTTCTTAACGCTTAATCGGTAACATTTAGTATACAACTTCGCGCACGATCGCGACTATATTCCTTGTGAATTGATCTCTTCGTCTCCATCGATCGACCATGGTAACGTCGTACCTTCACGTGAATGCAATCCTGAATGAACGGTACAGGTATTTATATAACTAATTGTGCACGTTGAGGTATTATTTCGAAACATTTCGAACCGATGAGACTTTTTATCTGAAGGTAATACTTAAATGAAAAATAGTGTTCGATGTACAGCGTATATTGGAGATTAACTAACGCAGTGTTCGTGCGTTCCAAAACGGGTCTAATATTTTGTTTCTTTTATAATAAAAAATCGTAGAATTCATTTCTTTTTCAAGAACATTTCCTGTGCATTTTTTGTCGTTACAGATAGAATATTTTTGTACCGATGTTCGATCTTTAATCATGCTATTCTTTGCAACATTAGTTGATGTATATTGCAATCTAGCGACAAGCGAGCATACGTTTTCGATTCGATTTCGATATTGGTTAAATTTAACGCAAGACAATGTAAAGTAGTAGCTTCTGAAACAGTACACGAGGAACGTGAAAAAGAAAATTAGGAAATTAACAGATGAATATTACATTTGGTAATAGAGTGCGTAATATGCAAAATAAGATAAAGATTCAACATTCCGTAGTATTAAAGAAAACCGGAAAATCATGTTTCCTTACTTCGCATTTCTTCGACGCACGTGCCAGGCGAAGATTTACAATATTTCGCAACGGTTTTTACACATCGATAGAACACACGGTGACATTGACAATTCGAAACGTTAACGAACGTTTAATAATATTCGGCCAAGCACACGCAGACAACGTAGATATGTACTCGTTCTCATTGGAAGTAAAAAAAAAAAAAAAAAAAAAAAAAAAAACAGAAACGACGTTTAGAATTCCGTGTGAGGTCGTTTCGCGAGCCAATCAGCAATGGCAGGTATCTCGTGGACTCTCTTCTTCAGCGCCCGCAATCCGGGATAATTTTCCAAGGCGTGCCTACCGAATATGTTCTCGAAATTCTCGAGGGCCACGGCAAACACAAAGTCCGTCCACGTGGTCTAAAAACAGCAATCCCATTTCGATAAATGCTTCCCTGAAATTCCGCTGTAAACTGATGGTCAAATGTCCATAATTTTCATGCACTACACGTTCCGGTTATTTTACTAATCTTTTGCAAACAACGCATAGTATATGTCAGTCTTTAATTCGGCATAATTAATATTGTGATCGTTTAACGACTAAATTGTTAAGTTGTACTTTTTTGAAGAGTCAGTGACGCTTCGATATCCATGTCAGCATACTTTCTTAGATAAAAGTGACAAATATTCGTGTATATTTTATATCGGTCGTTATCCCTGTATTGTCTGTTTTCAATTTCTCATAAAAAAATAGAAGGATCTTTCATTGAATAAAATGATGAAAATGTAGCGTAGTCTGCGATGAACATAATTCTACGTGTCGAAATAAAACGAAAATCAAAAATGACGAAATTCTGTTGGAGACTCTGATTTCAAGTTATTAACGGTTAAACATTCAGGTCAGAAACGCATGGAGCCAGGCAATCTGCGTGCAAGCGGTAAACGTAGGGGCACGACAGTCATGGCCACACACACTGGTGTTTTTTGAAAAAAAAAAAAACGTCCTTACTTCTTGGACAAACATGTATTGTGTACCTTATCCTTGGTACGATCCCAAACATCTGCAGGTACTATAACATATCCACTCGTTGTTTACACATTTTTATTACCTTCCTGCCCTTTCCGTGGGATTCGAGTAACGTTTCCTTAGTTCCATTGCAGTCGTCAACGCGAAGACATCTAGCCGTCGTGAAATGGTTCTTATATTTTTTTTATAGTATTAATTTAATTTATTTATTATATTAAGTTTTATTATAGTTTATTTTCGTTTGTGTAGTGTTTCTTCTGTGTGTGTGCTGTGCTTTCCTTCGTGAATTTGAACGATTAACCGGGCTTAATTTCGTGCAACGATTTACATCTCCGTGTTCATGAGGTGTCGCAAGAACGTAGTCCAGGCTCGACTGCAGGTGTTTTACATCACTTTTTCGGCTATGGGGTAAAATGTATTTTCTTTTAAGCGACGCCAATCTACGTGTCCGATACTGTCGCGTCCTACGATTACCGCTTGGTACGGGGATTGCCTAGCTTCAGGGGTTTGCGATCGGAATTTTCAACTGTTAATAAGTTGAAAACGAAGCCTGCGACATAATTGTGCCAGTCTTGACTTTTGTTTTATTTTAACATTCAGATTCATCCTGTATAATTAGCTTTGCAATGTAAAGCTTTAAATGAAATTAAAGAGTACGCGACCCAAGAAAAACTGTGACGGCTCTTACAATATCTGACGTTGAATTTTAAGTATCCAAAGATTGTAAATATCAATTAGTCTACTCTCTATAACGACTGGAATATCTTTCAGAAGTTGAATCGGTTTAAAGTTGGATACTTTGAAGATTTTTATTATCCGGCTCGATTATCAATAACTGAGCTGACTAATTAATAAGACTTTCAAGGCTTCGAGAACTTCGTTTAAAATTGATTATCGCGATGCCTTGATTGCTAATTGAACCACTATAACGTTTATAAAGAATTGGATATTAGATAAACGTGTAGTTCTTTTTATTATTCTGCGTCTAATATGTCGTCGAAAGTTTCGGTTGCAAATAGAAAGAGGTCAAAGAGTTAAGTATTAAATCAAACGGAACGACGACTTACGGTGGAGCCGACGGCGTAGCCTTCATTTTCGCCAACAGTTTGCTCGAACTTGTTCAAGTAAAACGGTATAGTTTCTTTCAGAAGTTTCGCCTTCTTTTCCTCCTTCTTGGAAAGATCCTCTTCGTTGCGATACTGCGATATTACTGAAAGACAATGACGTCAGAACGCCGAGTCTAATTTATCGTTGCCGAAACAAAAAAAAACCGTAAACCGAGAAAGTTTAGCAAAAGAACTATTAACATTCCTTGCGAACGCCTCTTTTTACGTTCGTTGATTTTCCTAAAGTTCATTCCAAGCGCCACCCCTCTATTGTTTCCCCGATAGATCGCTCGGAAACTTTGGAAAACTTTGCGAAGAGCTGCGAGAACCTGTTTTCACGCAGTGATTCAAAGGAAGCTTAACGTTTAAAAAATTGGCTGAACAAGCAATGAATTCGAATAATATTGAGAAAATTGTTACTCTTTATCGTCTGCAATGATTTTAAGGGAAAAACGTGGTGAATGATCTTTGTTGTAGATCCATCAATACGTGAATCTCCCAGGTAACGAATCGAACCACGATTTTCGTTTCCTAGAATAGATTCATCTTCGTGTGTTTGATCTACCGTACGATGTAACCCTGATCTTGAATGACACGTAACAATTTGTACATCCATTCGGAGGTGTGTTTAGTTGATCACCTTGATTCCCGCGAAGTCCGTGGAAAAATACGAAATATAATTGACACTTGTAAAAAGATTTATTCGTTATTTCCCGCGAGTCATTTGAATTCGAAAATTACATTCGAAAAATGCTAGGTGTTGCATTAGAAACAGAATTTATTATAATTTACCGTATATCTCATTTAACCTGCAATGGAGTAGGTATATGTTACACATTTATCATAATCTTTACATAATTCGTCCCATATCCATGCTATTATGAAATTCAATCGTAAAAAAAACAACGAAGACGGTGGAAAAACGCGATATATGGACGTGTCGACGGGCTACAACGCGGTTTTTGCGCTCGATTGTTACGTTAACGAACATAACCTAAAGGATCATCGAAAGCTTTCGAAAAAAAAAAAAGAATCCGTGGACGTTCCAGCGGTTCAATCGTTTCAATCGTTAATGACGCTCGATTATTCTTCTCGTTGGCACTTGGCATGGAAAACGTAGTAATTCGTAATATTATGAACCGTGACAAAGATCGTTCAATTTTCTACTTGTTATGACTGATGGCGTGAAAAAAAAAGACGAAATCAGACACGGATACGTGTTTAGAGCGATTCTCTTCCGGTCAGTTTACACGATCCATGCGCGTATCGTTAACACACCATGTAAACAGCTGGTCTGTTACGTAATCACGCATATCGTAATTGGAAATTAGTACCATATCGAGCGCAGGATCTTCCCGTGCCTGGCCATTGAGTAATACTTCATTATTCCGATCGCCTCCGCAGATACAATTAAGTGTAAACAGTGTTAACAGAGGCGTTAGTGGAGTGTACGTCGTGGTTAAATCACCTGGTAAAAGAAAGGAAACTATGGCAGCTGAGATATCTTTAATTCAGGAAAGTGTTTCTTAATCATTCCCCTAGACTTCGTACATTTTTTCCTAGAAATTTTGATAATTTATACTGAAAAGGTGATTTTTCTTAATATAGCGACGGTTTTCGTTAGATATTATTTAAAATACTTTCCTTCTGAAAGTTCGGAAACAGACCCTGAAATAAGTCTGACACTCTTTTTTTCAAGATGGCGACAATTTTTCTTCCTTTGAACTTAGTACTCATTTGGGGAAGAAAAAATAATTATGAATATACAATGATGAATAAACTGTGAAAATCTGAGTTTAAGAAAGTTGCGCAGAATAACGGCGGCTATTGAAGTAAAGTTCTAACTGTCGCTCGTTCCGCCATCTTAGAAAAGTTGTATCAGAATTATAAAGCCTATTTCTTCAAAAAAAAACCTATGTCGAATAATTTATAATAAAAATCATTAATATATACTTGCATGGTTTAATTAAAGAAACAAAACAAGAAATGGGAAATTGAATCTGATTTAAAATAAAGTTTCTGATATTCCTTTTATCAGCTACTAGACACATCGTTCACGACGAAGGGCTCGGAAAACTGTTTCCTCTAGCGTCTTATTGCCTATATTATTGCCTCCCGCTATATGATCGCAAACACATTAGCAGTAAAGTGAAAATAAAAGAAATCAAGCGAGTAGGTACTATAATAAAACCTAACCTAACCTAGTCACTTTTATTAGGCTGTAACATGATGACTTCGCTGTGAAATAGTCCTTTAACGTTTCCAGACATAGCTGAACGTATTCCCCCGCAATACCTTCCTTCATATCGGACGCAATGTCCCTTATATTTCTCTTATTGAAGCGACAATAACGTCGACACTGGTCGAGTAGAAACAATATACGTTGAAAGTAAATAACTCTGAGCACGGAATTCTTTCTCTGTATTTGATTTCAATGTCGCTATTATAATTTTGAATCTCTTGAAATTTTCAATATCCTCCTGTACATTAGTACAGGACTCTTTTTCATCTATTATACTCACTGATAACTTTATGAAATTACAAAACTCTACAATTATGAATATATGTAACGCGAAGAAATGAAAACGATTCAAAAGTTCGAAGTGTTATTACTGCATAATAGTAGCAGCTCGAACATGGTAGGACACTTCTCGTTCCATTTCAGCTGCCCTACTACCCTTGAAAATACTAAACGTATGTACCTGCTATTTACTCTTTCCAAGTTATTCCAGCAAAATATATCTGTATCAGATTTAAAATAATATTAGGTGTACCAACAAGTAATTTAAAAAAAAATATGATTTATTGAAACAATATAATTATAAATGTAGATTCGTGCTGTGAAGATGTTAAAGAATATGTACACGCAATGCCGGGTCAGTTGGTTGAACATTTTTTTAATTAAGTACATTCCCCGGCGCGGAACACCCTTTTTTGCTCACGGGCTGCACGTATGTTCTCATAACTAATATTTATGGATTTGTCGTGAAAATAAAAATATTTTCCAAGTTTTGAAGTACAAAAATAACAAAATAATTCATTATTCGAAATTGCTATTATTTCAGATAAATCGAAATAACTTGTTTCAATGAATTACTTCCCATTTTCATTTCAAATAAAATTTGCCCAGGTCTGACACCAGGCTCCCCCTTTAACCCCTTGCCTTACAATTTTCTCGACATCTGCTGACTCTAAAATTGCATTCTTGTCGATAGTTTCCCAGAAACGAAAGGAATTCTGTCCTTATCGCAACTGTATTATTACTGTAAAAGTTAAATATTAATGCCAGTAACGTGGCGTGTCACTTCGAATCAAAGAAAACCGAATAATATTCTTCTTTGTTGAATCGATTTTAAAATCGTCAACACTATTCAATGTTATAAGTCAAGGGGTTATATCGCGAAACCGTGAATTTGGACCATGACGGATAGACACAGGTGTCCCACTCACTTTGCTTCAGATCTCCGAGGGTATCGACTAGTACATCGCACAGCATCGCTTCCCATTCGTCCCTTCCAGTCAGGCTATGTTTCCTCGCAAGGTATCTCGCCACCGCGTTGCTCTGCGCTATCAGTTTCCCGTCTGCCTCCAGCACCGGCAGCATTCCATAAGGCATCGCTAAGAACAAATACAGTTCGAAGGCGGACCCCGCGAAGCCCGATCGATACAAAATTCCACGGTCTTCGAGAGTGAGGGAGAGAAAAAGGTACCGTGATATGCAACGGGGAACGCTTGAATAGCGAGCACGGAACCGCTCCGATTTTAATCAACGCGTCCCCCACTAATGGAACTCCCCAGTACTTTCATTTTCGCGATTCGCCGCTACTCTATTCTTCGATATCCGTGGTAAGAATTAGGGATCGAGGAATCGAGGATTAGTTTGAAATTCGAACCGAGCATCGTCCACAGTGATCCTTTAGAATGTTCAGATACTCGATGGGTTAGCAGGTTAAAGTAATCATCTTTTGATTGGAATTTCTGCAAATTAGAATTCCTCCGTGGAATATAATATTTATTATGATAGATCCAAGTATGGGGATAATTATTTCATCCACCGCGGGTGCAAGTTGCTTCTAGATAGGTCGATAAAATGACGGTGTTTGAGAACTGTTCCTAATTTTGCTGTGTCTCACAGGGTAGTGACTACGATAAACAGTGTTTTTGGGAGTGGAACGAAACGAAATGGGTAAGGGAAAATTCAAAATTACAGATGTAACTAAGGGTTAAGGACGGAAATCGTCACCTTCAAATACAGTCGAGTTTAAATAGACTTTGGTAAAACTACAAACTGGGCAATAGTTAGTCCAAGTTACTCTTCGGTATCACGTTCACGTCAGTTCGCGAAATAATCTTAAAAGTATGCAGGGTGAATCAATAAGGACTACTGTCTAAAATAACGCATTACCTGTTAGTTGTGTACAAAAACTAGTTTTAAATTTTAATGAATTATATAGCATTTTAAGGAGTGCATCGAATGGAGGCAATTTGATTTTTTTTTAGATATCAAGGTGACCTTGAGCTTTTCAAAATCAATGAATTTTTTTTTAATACCATTACGCTATAGGTCGCTGAATTTGTCCTTCTATTAGCAAAAAGATGCATTGATCTTGAAAAAACTCAAGGTTACCTTGATATCTCAAAATAAAATGAGATATAAAAAAATGAAATTGTATCCATCCGATGCGTCCCTTAAAATCCTACATAAAATGTCAATAAATGTACATAGAAACTATCATAGTTGTTGTAACATTATTTGTCAACATTATTTAACTAAAATTGCTTATCTAGACCAGAACATATCCCTCAAAATATCGTAGATAAAGAGTTTTGAATAACGAACAAAAGATTTGAAAAGAAAGTACTTCGCCACATTTAATTGATCAAACGTGGAAATAACTTTTTAGTAAAATAATATTTCTTCTCGAATGAACAGACACTTGGCCAACAATTGCTCATCCTATACAGAACGGGAAGCCTATTTTTAGGCTCCAGAAGGGGTCGGTTATATTCCGTAGCATAACACCAGAAAAACTATATTATAATTCTATCCCTAAAATATAAAAGAAGTCATAAAAAAAACCTGCCATTCTCTAAAGGTTTATCTCATCAACTATTTACAGGTCAGAATGACGATCTTAGATACTGATGCTTTCCACTATGTATCATTCAAATAAAATTGTGTCCAACTCTGGTCATAGCTAAGGGAGGGACAGTTACCTAACAACGGACTTGTTTAGTACCTCATTCAAAGAAGAAGCATTTCTTTTACCATTCTATCAATGATAGCTTAAAATTTATGCAGATTGATCCACTTGATGTATCGACACGCCAACGATCGCTTTATCGAATCTTACAGGGGGTGTGGTGGCTGTTCAAAGGGAATAAAAAAAGGTAAAATCGAATTTTATCTCTTACATTTCTTCAGTTCCGGCCAGCGTTCCTTGGGAATTCTTTCGTCTACGTAGTCGATGCCCGCGTACGCGAATATGTACCGTATATGCTCGGCACGGCCGCGGGCGTTGAAGTAGATCAATTTGTATGTCGGCTGTCCCTCGCTCATTTTCTCTTCTCGCGATCTGAAACGAAAGAAAAAAAAGAACGAACGTCGAGCTTGTTACATCTAGCGGGTACAAATTACATTTGGATCGTGTCCCCATGATTTTTCTTCCCTTTTCGAAAAATCGAAATCTACAGATAGGATAAGCGCAATCTAATATCATCTACTCGAATTCGAATTTGTTCACAGTCGTTATTCGTGTATGGCAGGTTCGAATTCTTAATATTCGAAGATTTTCAATCGCGAGTGTAACAGAAGCATGACATCTAAAATCAGCATGAGCTTTCGACGTTGTATTTGTAGGTATTTTTATTATTTGTAACCATATGAATAATTGAAACGGCTTTTTGCAAAACTGTCTTTTATTCGGAATAAATTTAGAGAACAAATCTAGACAAACAAAGTTCATCTGTGTAGCTTTGTTTTTGGGACTTAGTTATTGCACAATATCTATATCCTTATTGATAAACGTTTCAGAATGTACATGATTAAAGAATATTAATCATTGGAATTTAAGAATTGCGGGGGTACGAATATTTCTGTGACTCACTGTATTGTATAAATTTCGTTATCTTATCTCATTAATTACAGAATTTAAAAATATGAAATCGATTTTATTCCCAATTTACCACAACAGTGACTTATGGGCGGGAGTGTACAGGGAGGGTGGGGCGTGTACAGCAAAGTATAAAGATACTTTTCAAAGGAAATTGTCGCGTTGCACTCTGGACACTTCACCACCTTTGTTTCGCAGTTGAGGGAAAGCGGAAACGTGAGGAACCCGGTGACCGCATGTTTTTTCCTTTTCTTTCAAGGAAATCTTTCATCATGCCCAGCCCCCTCGCTCTTCTACCCCCTTGCGACCAACCCATGTTTCCCTTGGCATTCTTTTATTGCAATTCATTGTTCGTCCTCTCCGCGAAACTTTTAATGCAATTCATTGTTATATGATTAATTTAAACAAATATTTCGCGACAGAGGAGCAACAATGAATTGCAATAAAAGAATTTATTAAATGCTAATATTATAGTACATTTTACTTAAGTGCAAGTGAAATGCTATTTATCACTATGTAATTTTTAGACAAAAAACGGCCTTACTATACTACAAAATTCGTTTCTTTTACAGGGTAAAAGACTGAAAAAGTATACAGTGACTCCGAACACCAGAGTTTCGGAACAATTTGTTGCCCAATTTAATTCCTCTGTCTATGACCACCGTCGTTCGTCTACCGAAACAGGGAAACAAAGGCGTGTAGTCAAATATCCTCAATTTCCGTGCAATTTCACGTCGAGGCGACCGGCGGCACTGTAACCTCGTTATCGATTAAGTTTATTTTTTGTTCCATCCCGTCGTTCTTTTTCGTAATAAAAAATCGGTCGCCGCCGTGTAACTTGATTGCCGTGAATCTAATATGAAAGTCCATGGAAACCGGAAACTCGAGAGGCGGAGGCACGACGTAAAATGCGATGGTGACATTATGTGGTATGTATGTGTATTAATTCCGTTTGGGGGTGCGCGGTGTAACTTTTATGTTTCATGAGTTAATAACTTTGAAGTTAATCAAAAAAGCATCTCTGAACGAACATTTTTTTTTTCCTCTCGAACCGTGCTGTCGTTCGCTGTGAGATCGTAATTTTGCAATCGAATCGAGTTGCGGGTAGTATTTTCCACCGGTGGAAATAGAGACGGCGGAATCGTTCGCCGTTTGGGAATCATCGAAACCACGGGGCAAGAGAAAAAATTCGTTTGACTGCTCTCTCTGCTATCTTCTAACTAAACAATTTTGTTTCACGCAGCGCAGTTTGTCGTGTATTGTCGTATCGAAGAATACGGTAAATTTATCATAGATGCCACCCTTTTTGGTTGAGAGTCAATAACTTTTTTGGTTTTGTTCTAATTAATACTTATAATATTTAGCATATATAATTATCTTTTTCCAATCAGAAGTTTGGCGTGTCTCTCCTGAATTTACCCTACAGTGAATCATCGATGAATGTTCGAAGGCTCCTCGGCACTGACAATGAGAGGTCCCCATGTTTAACGCTGACTTTTCAATGAGGTTTAGCACAGCGATAGAGCTTGGAATTCTGAAGCCAATGACATTTGTTTCAGCCACATATGGCCATCAGTTTATGAAATATTCGATGTTTAGTACCGAGGAACCTTCGAACACTCATCGACGATTTACTGTATTATTAACGGAGTGTTCACACAATCGATGTATAGCATCATGATACGGATGTATCATCTTGTTCGAAAATTTCTTAGCACACCCCACCCCCCCTCCATCCCTCCTCCCAGCAATTCCTTAGGCCACCCCCGCAATTTACAATCCGATAATTCGCGGGTGGCTTCCGTATCCGCGATGAATGTTAATCTACGCTGCGAATCTACCAGCCGTGTTGTTTCGAGGGTAACGAGGGGGTTGCGTGTTCACGTGCGTGGATCGAAGAGGCTGTTATCAGATCACCGAGGGCTGTCCGTTTCAGATAAGCCGAATATGCCCACCGGAAATCGTCGAGATTCATTGCTGACGCCTCGGAGATAGCCTGAATTAACCGGCTTCAGGCTCGTCTTGGGATCTACGAAGTCGCTCATAACTACTATAACCTATCTCGTCCAACGAATCGAGTTAGTGATTATAAACATAGGGAAGGTGATTATTTAGGTGGGACACTGGGACAGAGACACTCTGTGAGCTAATCAGTATTGGAAGATCGGACGATTTGTCGCAATTTGGGCGACTTTTGTACGGAAATTCTGATGAATTTTCTGAAGAAATCGCAAACGGGGGATTTCGGGGACAGGGTGTGTAAATCAGAACCACCGTCTCAAATAACTCATTATCTGTTAGTTGTATCAAAAAATGTTTTAATGAATTGTATAGAATTTTTAGGGACGCATTGGATGGAAAAAATTTGATATCATTATATCCTATTTTTTTTTAGATATTATTGAAGTCGACCTTGAGTTCTTTGAAGGTCACTGCATCTTGTTTTAATACCATTATGCTATAGGTCGTTGAATTCGTTCTCCTATTGACAACAACGTGGTATTAAAAAAAGATGCATTGTCCTCGAAAAAACTCAAGGTCACCTTGATATTTCAATAATAAGATTTAAAGAAATTAAATTCCATCCATTCGATGCACACCTTAAAATGTTACATATATTACTACAACGTTTTCTGATACAATCAATAGGTAACGAACTTTTTAACATATCTTTAAGTGCTAATATCTCAACTCAATAAATACTGACATTGATACTTCTTGCACTACGCCAAAAATATATTAAATTTTTATATGTATAAAATAATTTAAAAATTGAAAGGCTAAGAATATAAAGTATTGTGTGATCTTGGAGGCAAAGGAGCGGGGAATGAAAAGTATACCTAATGTACTTTCGAATTTGATGAAAAGAAATCTGGTGACATTCCATTTGGAACGAACCTACTTACGATCGATGATGTAAACTAATAAAACGGAGCATCGTGATCCAACACGGAACGCGAAGAACGGATCAAGCGAGGCGTTGAAAGGGATTCGAGGGTATGAATAGGAAGAGAATGGCGGATGGATCTTACAAAATGTCGGAGAAGAAAATATACGAGCGTGACAGAGTTACTGACGCGTAAGAGGACGTAGATTTTTAGGATTCAGGGCAAAAGACTCGAGAATCGACGGGTTAGAAGAGATTCAGAAGCTGGAATCTCGAATCCCTTTTATTCCCCGTTGGTGTTACCGTGAGAATATGAAAATGTGCTTAACACGTTTTCCATGAATGAAACGAATCCAGAACAGTTCGTTCGGGTAGACTACCTTTAAGTGTCTGAAAAACCAGTGAATTAAACGACCTTGTTTCCTGCAGAACGGGCGACATTACGACAGTCGACTCGGTCACGTGGCGCAGGATAATGAACCGAGACACGTGACGAATTTCTAGAACATCGAAATACTGTTCCCCTTTGATTTTAAAATGGATAAAACGAGCGTGATAAGTGAAAGGAAGTGTCAAACTGTTTTGCATTCAATGATCCTGATCGGATAACAAAGTGGTAGCCTCTTATCGCACAGTTCCGTCGATATTTCTAATTCTGCGACGTAATCGTTTCGTTCGATGTCAAACCTAGAAACTACGATGTCTTTAAATTTCACGGTAGTGTATAAATAATGACACCTGTTACCTCAGAGTTCCACTTAACGCAGTCTTCCTATAATGCGGTAGAAATTAACCGAGTCATGGGACAGTTATCGCTAGTTTAAGTAGTTGGTGGATTATCGGTAGTTATGAACACCGAATGATATCGGTCACGTCAACCATTCTTTGATGACTCAATCATATCCGTGACTCTAATCATCCTTTGACCACTTCAACTACAGAGGTAGTACTTATAGAGGACATCAGTTTCCACTTGTCACATTTGATTAAACGTCTTCAAACGTCCCAGAAGGAATCACCTTCCAACTAAGCATATTCGCTAATCGTGGTTAAGGGGATACTATGATGACTCAATCATATCCGTGACTCTAATCATCCTTTGACCACTTCAACTACAGAGGTAGTATTTATAGAGGACATCAGTTTCCACTTGTCACATTTGATTAAAAGTCTTCAAACGTCCCAGAAGGAATCACCTTCCAACTAAGCATATTCGCTAATCGTGGTTAAGGGGATACTATGATGACTCAATCATATCCGTGACTCTAATCATCCTTTGACCACTTCAACTACAGAGGTAGTACTTATAGAGGACATGAGTTTCCACTTGTCACATTTGATTAAACGTCTTCAAACGTCCCAGAAGGAATCACCTTTCAACTAAGCATATTCGCTAATCACGCTTTAGGGGTTGCTATGGCGACCGAAGACACCCAGGTCGATTCACTCGGCTGAGAGGCAGCCCAGCCGTGATTCTGGAGAGAAATTCTACTGTGAATGCACGCCCAGGATCAGGCCGGGGCCAAAACTAATCGGGTTAATCGTAGCGACGATCGTTCGATCTTCGTATCCGTGA